GCATTTTATGACAAAATATACGAATATGGTACAATTATATCATCTCTGTATTGTGCACAAGTATAGCCTTTCCGAAGTCATGTGAACATGTATAAAAACGCCCAGCAATAAAATTTAATGGGTTTCTTAGGCATACCTAAAAAAGTTTTCTGCTAAAGTTAAAAAAAATTAAAATAATTTGTATATATTGTGTAGAAATTTAGCCAATAACATAATATTTTAATTATGTCCTCAAACAATTTTATTATATTGACGGTAAATTTCGTTTTGTTCCGTGTCAAAAGGCCTCCAAAATGCCATGTTGTAATAATATTAGTATACAAAATGTAATGTAATATGAATGATTAATAGAAGGTGCCTATAATAAATTAAAATTACCTGAATCACACCAAATTCCGCATTGCTGCACTGCACTGCTAGGCAATTTGGCAATCACTTGTCAACAACTGAGATTTATTGCCCAGTCCTCCAGTGAGGCTGTGTTATACGCCGTTTGCCCGCGCACCCGTTCTTCAACGGGTATTCGTTTCTACCATTTCCAAGTTTTGTTCGACGAGACCTGTATATGGGTACGGTTAAATAAACATGGGAACAAGTTTTTCAGATATTTCAGTGCCGAGTTGCTGCGTCAGCGACTGAACCTGGTACATACTTTTCCTCGTGGTTGAGATCGGAAAGACTATAACTGAAAATTTAAGGTTGATGACAATTATATTGACCTGACCGTTATATTTCACTGTAAAACTGCAAATGACAATTCGCATAAGTGTACCTACTTACTACGTATATACATAAGAAAAGCACGTACGGAGTGATATAGTTATATAAGTTTTAAAAATATAATAATTTTGGTTGTGTCACTTTTTGTCGTCTTAAGGGGGCGATTTAGTATGTATATTTTTACCGTGTAACAGAGGTTCAGATGAGGACACAAATCATCGAAGAAACTAACATAATTGAATATTATTATATATCAATGTATTCGCAATGATTCCTGCTAGTGAGTGAGATAAATTTCAATGCTCATGAGAACAGAAGAATAATTTAAATAAATGCCAAAGTACCTCAATTTTAACCATACTGTTAGTCTGCCAATATATTCCATTTACAACGGAACTAGGTTAGGCACAATAACCAAACTACTTCACTCACTAGAACGGACACCTAGGATCATTTGTATTTAATATTCAGATTAATATTTATGAATAATTCTATAATTTGTGTCCTCAAGTGAAATGACAACATTTTACACACGACTCCATTTTTAGTATGTATCTAAACCAGAATTGTCGAGTTTCCTACCTATTCACAAGATATTTCTAACAATTCTCGATATAATTAGTTTGTACACTCTCTCACAGGTGTCGCTACCCTTGAAAATGAAAGTGAAAACACAGAGTTGGTTTATTATAAATGCGTCCTAAAATAAAGCATAATGGTTTAATATTATCTTTGATATACCTAGTAGTAC